TTAAATCTAGCAACTCTAAACGGTATACACCGTCTTCAGCAACACATTGCTTTCTTTGTGTTTCCTCATGACACAGCGGTTTAGGAATCTATTTCGAAAATACCAGCTAGCTATGAACCTAAATAGGATGACTTATCTTCCCCTAGTGGCGAATCCAGTCAATGTATGTAATTCAATGCCCACTTAATCACTTACTAAACACCAAGTGTCAGCTACAAAGTTAAAAAAAAAAATTAAAGCTAGTCCTTGCTTTCATGGAGCGTGTTATCTAGCAGAAGGGGATACATATGTTGGCAAATGCTATAAAGTCTCTCCTAGGGCAACGTCTCTGCTGGACAGACATGAAGGTAAGATGGGCACAAAGGCGACTTCTACATGTGTACATGGTGGAGGTCTTCTAGGAAGATTTCAGAGTGGATGGTGTACTTTTATTCTGAAACACTCATAATCATTTATTTTTTTTTAAATTTACTTTCTTATTTATTTTTGGCTGCATCAGGTCTTCGTTGCTGCGCGCAGGCTTTCTCTAGTTGTGGCAAGCGGGGGCTACTCTTTGTTGTGGTGCGCGGGCTTCTCATTGCGGTGGCTTCTCTTGTTGTGGAGCACGGGCTCTAGGCGCGTGGGCTTCAGTAGTTGTGGCACACGGGCTCAGTAGTTGTGGCTGGCGGGCTCTAGAGCGCAGGCTCAGTAGTATCGCACAGGCTTAGTTGCTCTGTGACATGTGGGATCTTCCCGGACCAGGGCTCGAACCCGTCTACCCTGCACTGGCAGGCGGATTCTTAACCACTGGGCCACCAGGGAAGCCCAATCATCATTTTTTTAAATTTCCGGCCGCGCTGTTCGGCTTGTGGGATCTTGGTTCTCCAACCAGGCTTCGAACCCTGGCCACTGCAGTGAAAGAGCCAAGTTCTAACCACTGGACCGCCAGGGAATTCTCCAGCTGTTTTTAAAAGTTAAATTCCAGGGCATCAAAGCCTTATAAAATCTGGGAACAGACAATAGTACACAAAAGGCGCTCTGCTATCTGTTATGCAGTTAAGGACTAATTCCAGTCTTTTGGGAAAAATGGACCATCTTTCTACTGGAGAGACAGGAAAATGTTTTTCTTCAGTCATTCCCTTTCCCCTCAACTCCTTCTCTCTGATGGATCCAGTAACTTTGGGCACGGAGGACCGGAAGTGGCCAGTCACTGTGAGGAGACATGTTGAATTTCAACCTGCTCCTGAGAGAATTTTTCCATTTCCTCCCGCTTCCCAAGACCTTTTTCTAAGCCAGCATATCGACTCTGCCCACGTTTTCTTTTCTTGGTCTGCAACAATGACTGGTTCTTCACCCAGAAGATATCTTCTGCTACAACATGAGTTCTAGTGGGGGCAGAACGTGGGAAGGGAAGGTATATCCTTTCCGTGAAAGACGTATCGAATTCTCTCTTCTTGCCTTTTTTTCACTCAGGTGAAAAAACTGGATGTTACTGGTATTTGTCATTACTGTTAAGTAACAAGGTGTTTCCCGGGCGTCAGAGATGAATTTACTCATATTTACTTCCCTCTACAGTTTGAAAAAAAATTCGCGGAAGCTTACTAAAAATACACGAAGCGTTCCCAGCCTGAATGTCAGTGGTGTGTAACTTCAGATTCAAACGTGTCTCGAAGGCAGATCAATTTACATGTGGGACTAGGGAGTCTCCTTAAGGAGCCTATCCTGAGAAGAAATGTTGGTAAAAGGAAGCCCTGTAGTTGGACGGAGCAGTCTGCGCCACACTGCAGACTCACTGGGTCAAGGCTGTGCTCCGGGCAAGTCTAAAGTTGAGGCTGTGAAAATGCAAAGGGCAAAAGCAAGAGAGCTCCCTGTCCAGGAGCTCCGTGGGGCGGTGACGGCAGTGGGGCCCCCTTCAGGATACCAACGCCGGGCATGCGCACACCGGGTACAGGGACCAGCCCCCTCGGTTATGAATACCTTGTGAAGACAGCAGTTGCCACTCCTGTGATGCATGTTTAATCAGTTCAAGCAGAACCAGCATAAAACCCAAGACTTTTGGCCTCAGCGCTTATTACAGAAAACTGTTTAACAAACTGCTTAAAAAACAGCAATGGGGGTTAAGACAAAGTACAAATGAAATAAGATACAAAGCTCACTGCATAGAAACATTGGAAACATGGTCGTGTCCTTCCACAACTCAACAAGACACATAAACAGTGTCAGAAACACCCATTTGGTTCAAATTTTAGATTTCAGTCATCTGACAGTTATTTCCTGTGCACTTTTTACGTGTGCGGCACCGCACTGTGGTAGGTGCTGGGGATACAGTAATAAGTAAAAGTAAATTCCTGCTCTCACAGAGCTTCCGGTCCCCTGGGGGGCAGACAGACACCACGAAACAGACATGTCAGGTAGTCAAAGGGTTATGGGGAGGAGTGGGCAGGTAGGCAAAGTTTCTGTACACTCTCCAAATTCCTAGGAGCAATCAGAGGCTGCTTTGAAGGTCACAGTTTGGGGAAAAGATACAAACTCTAAATTATATTTTTGAAATAACTTTTTTATAGGTTGCAAATTTCTGGTCAGACTCTTTAGTTCATGGTTCTCGAGCAGCATTTATACTTTTCTAACTAGAAGCTATGCTAAGTCCTTATGGCTGTACTACTGGAGTATGGCCCACATCATGCACGTACACGTGTAGGTATAAGTATGCATGTATGTTTACAGACGTATGTCACCACTTACGTATATATTAATCTACATTACGTATTAATACATTATTTCTGGCTGTAATGATACAAATCTTTTACATAAATGCATAGGTTATATCTAGCTTCTCCAAGAACTATCAGTATTGTAGTTCTGAGGCAGTTTATTGGTGCTCCCAAGTATATGGTATTTCCAAGTGAACTATTCTTCAGAAAAAATACTTGTCACTTTACAAGTAAGCACATCCTGATTAAGCTACATGTGGACCACAATGAAGAAGGGGATGGAATTGCATTTTTAGGTCAGAAGACAAGGCAAAATCGAGGGGTTTTTGTTCGCTGCTGCTCAGATACTTGTTCGCTGAAAACCACAGGGGGTCCTAAACCCCCCAAAGACACACAGACTCCCACATCCAGGGACCTGGCGACTTCTGTGGTGTCTTTTCATCCTAATGCCCGAGTTTTCCCTCTTCCACATCCCATGAAGGCGCTGTTTCCCTTTGGGATGTCCATTCTGAAGCAGCCTCCTTCCTGTGGTAAATCCCGGGCCCGCGTGCTGACCAGGCCTGTCGCACTGACACAGCGTGGAAGCCCGGGCTGACAGGGTCCTGGCATGTTCCTCACTTCCTCGCTACAGAGGCAAATTCCCACTGACAGGGCCTTTACAAGCGAAGGGCCAACCCAGATCTGCTTTGAACCAAGGGCCTCCGGTCAGCAGGATCAAAGGTGTGCGTGGGTCCCTGTAGGGATTCTGCAGCAGAGAACTGCCTAGGCGGGGACCCCTGGCCCATACTGTATGCTCCCCTAGGAGCTGGACCGAGGTCCAGGGAAGCACACGGTGTGTTCTGCAGAGGACATGCTGAGTGTCACTGCCCTTCCCAGGGCAGCTGCGTTCAACCTTTTCTTCCACCCAGAAGACCACAGCGGACCACTGTGTAAATAAGACTGGCCTGCCGTGATGCTCTGGGTAGCTCCATCTCCCTTCCCTTTCACTGGTCCTTCTGCAACGACTGAAGCTGAGAACCCAGCCTCAGAGGCCACCAGAATTCCTACACTTCCCTTCTCTGCAGGATCTCCATGAATAATCCCAAATAGCAAATCATTTAAAAATAAGCTATAGATGCCTTTGAAAGGCATTACATATTTTAAAAATTAGGTTTTCTTCCCAAGTACATTTCCTCCCACACCTTGATAATAAATAATTTGCATTTTCTTGAGTGCATGTAGGCTGAGCAGAAGGGGTACCTGAATACTTCCAGACGGCGCAGAGAAGCTGGCCCGGTGTTAGAAATGATACAGATAAGCCACAAAAACAAACCGCCCTCAGGATGTTAGTCATCAACAGTTGATTACACACATTATTCTTATTTTTCGCTAAAGCCACCTGCTTCTTTCCTACTGAATTACTCTACTTACTCTGTCTCTTCTCTCAGTACCATTTTCTGGTCCCAAGACTTCTTACATCCACTGTGACTAATGTCACATACTCCCATATCTTAAAAGATAATAGTAAGCTATCTACTCAGATGGTTTCCCATTTCTCTGTAATTTTAGTGATTATGCACTGTAATCAGAAGCTATTGTTCCAATGTTCTGAATCAGGAAGACTTCATGGACATATAGCAAAAAATTATCCGGTTTTAATCCTAAACCGTAGAAGGGATGGGTAACTGTGATGTAGAAGCCAATGTGATTGGTAAAACGGATAGAATTCCCCTGGAAACTCTGTAAGGACCATACCATGTTTCTGGCATCTGCAGCTGTTTTCCAGAGTAAGCTACTTTTTCAGAAAACCAAGTGATGGTGGTATTCAGGCTTTTCTAAAGACATTTCCAAAGGGCCTACTTTCGTGCCCAAAGAAAAGACCAAATGTTCTACATGTGTCCTGAAAAATAATGGACTGTAATACTGGGATGGAGAAGGGACAGATGGTATACGCAGCAGCAGTGGCAGCACGGCGACGGTATCAGCCCCTGGGAACACAAGCGCCGCCCTTACCACACGACAGCGCGGTGGTGCTTAGGGAATCACTAGGAAGACAGAGGGCGTCTTCTGGATTTAACTCCTCTCATCCAGGGCGGTCCCATGACAGGTCTTTCAAGACCTTTACACGTGGAAGAGAATGTAGAAAACGCTTCTCCAAATTCCTTTCAAATACTTAAGTGCTTGCCTGTGTTTTTAGGACCTACGATCTGAAGATGATCTTTCTTCCCCCACAAGCAAATATTCTCTTGCTAGTTACTGAGAGGAGCGAGGAGCCCAGGCTCCCACCGCAACTCCCGCAAGACTCGCTAGTATTTTAAAGTTCATTCCTGGTCACACAGTTTCCTGTTGCAGAAGTTCCTCACTTATTTTACTTCCACTGTTTTCGTCTTCATTAGAATAGTTTCCTGAATCTTGACTAGTTTGGGAATTGTACTTTTTGTGATCTCCATCAATTGGATTAGTCTCTTCTATTACAGTAATAGTGTTTGCATTTTCAATTATAGAACATCTTTCCGTTTGTTCCTCAGAAGTGGAAAGGAGTAGATTCCTTACTGGCTGTTCAGAGAAATACTAATTCAAAAGGGAAAGAACAGAAACAGATTATTTAAAATCACAAAAATTAGTTTTCTAGTTCTAATAAGCTGTGGTTTCTTAAGTTTTCTAGAAACCCTATTTTTTTTTTTTTTTGCGGTACACGGGCCTCTCACTGTTGTGGCCTCTCCCATTGTGGAGCACAGGCTCCGGACGCGCAGGCTCAGCGGCCATGGCTCACGGGCCCAGCCGCTCTGCGGCATGTGGGATCTTCCCGGACCGGGGCACGAACCCGTGTCCCTTGCATCGGCAGGCGGACTCTCAACCACTGTGCCACCAGGGAAGCCCTAGGAACCCTATCTTTTGACGTGCATATTAAAAAGCAAGCTAAGAGCATATCGATTGCACTATAATGTTTAGAATAAGACCATCACTAGTGAGGTCACGTACATGTTAGTATTGTTGTTGGGAATTATATGAAGAGTCCCTAAGAAAGGTCCACTGTGCTATCAGGGGTGGGGAGTGGAAGAGTGTGGGTGAGGAAGGAAAGGGAGAACCCTGGGATTTGGGACATTTTATATTGACATAATAAAAATTTTGGTATCTAATCCACAAATACCCAGAAAAAGCACAGGGAGAAATTAATTTTTCCCTGTCCCACTGAGAATAAAGAGCTATTGTAACTTGACAGTTTTCAGTTCTTTAAATAAGAGCTCTGAATAGAAGAGTATATAGAAATGATATTTAAAAACTCAGGCATAAAAGAGTAAAACAGTTCATATTTATGGAACGTTTGTACAGTGTTAGGCCCTTCTGGTTTATCTCCTTCGGCCCTCCCAATTCTGCAGGATGGTACTACTGGCTCTGTTTTATAGTCTACGGGCACTTGCTCAAGTACCCTTAAGAGAGCTGCTCAAGTTCACAGAGCCAGTAAGTGCAAATACACTACAGCCCATCAACAATTCACCTTCAGGTCTCTAGCTCCAAAGCCTGGGGAACCTGAAACAGGGCAGGCAGCGTGGAAGCTGCTCCAGTGAACACACCACCCCCAGGGTGGTGTCCACACTCTGGTCTTCATCATTCAGTGCCTTCACTAACTCTGCCAACCAAAACACCGAGGTGCTGTGAAAGGAAACTCATGTTTTGCTATTTTGTTTTCTGTGATTTTATCCACAGAATACAGTTTTTGCACTGATGATAATATTTTAATCTTTTTGTGAATATAGACTTTCAACGGTAAAACAAGTGCCACAGTAACCAAACTGCCAGAAAAATATGAGATTAAGGACACACCTTACTATTCCATGTTATATTCTATTAAATGACTGTTTCTAAAGTTAATTTTCCGAAACTCTGAAGAAAAAAACTCAAATCAGTCTGTATTATTTTCTGAATATCAAGATAACATTTATATTCTGTTGAAATCAAATATATTTCCCATTCATTTTAAGAAAAATGCAGTTAACTGTTGAAAAGAAAAGTAACATACCTCATTTACAGTGGAAGGAGGTTTACTAGATGGAAAGAACACGTAATTGATACATCTCAAGAGGACTTTCACAACATAAATGATAACAGTGATAGAAAATAATGCAGTGCAAATTCCAGCTATAAGCCAGGTTTTGGAAGTATTTCCTAAAAACAAATAAATGGTGTTTAGCATCTATATAGGTTTTGACACACAAATACATTAAGACTGCTGATGGTTTGTGTGAAACAAATACAGCCACGTGAAAGGAAATATACATTCTATTAAATAATACCAACAATAACATTAAAAAATTCACAACTTAACTAATTAAGGGATTTCCACATAATAATTATATTAAGGGTTATATAAAAAATTACAATAGTCTCATTAAATTCTAAGAGTAATAATAAAAGGAAATTAATTATGCAGATATGCATGAAATATAAAGCATGCAGAAACCACTGAACTAAGTTGAGTATTAAAAAATATTTTCTAAGACTGGAAGGCTCAGCGTGGAGTACTCACACAGTTCGTGAAGAAAATATTCTCTATATTTTTGTGGTACAAAGGAAATATTTTACAAATTTCAATGAATTGGTTATTTTTATTAAGTCTTGTTACATTAAAAAAAGAAAAGATACAATAAAAGATTCTGACCTGGTTTTGTTTTCTCACACACAATATCACTAAAAACACTGCTTTTATTCCACTTGTCATTCTCACTGAGTGCTCTGGCTTTCACACAGTATACAGTCAGCGGTTTCAAGTTAGGAAAGGTAAAATCAGTTCTTTTCTCTACAACGTTTCTCTATAAAAAAATAAGTAAATCATTGATAAAATTTAGAACCCCAAGAAATCATATAGGGAATATCTATTTTCTGAATTCCTTAAATAGTCAAGCTAAGCTTGGCTTCTCCCAAACACTTAGTTGGTATATGTTTGAGAAGTATAAATTTGTTTTGGACAACACATTATAACCAAACTCAAAAGTTAAACATGGCTGCTGCCAAAAAAAGAATATGTTCCTGAGACGACTCTGATTTATTTTATTAGTACATGCTGATTTGGTTTAATCACCATCATGTTATCTCTGTTTAGTGGCAGAACAATTAAGTGCAGAGGTTCTGGCCTCAAACTGCCTGTAGCAAGATATCACTCACAGCTACATGGCCTTAGGCAAGTTATTTAAGTTCCCTGGACCCCCTCTCAGATCTGTAAAGTGAGGACAATTATTACTCCTATTTGTATTAGTCGGCTATTGCCACAATAATGTTGTATAACAAAACATCACAAGGCCAACAAAATAATGCTGTGCAATGCTGTGTAACAAAACGGCCTGTGGCTCAAAAGATATTTGTTTTTCTTACTCGTGAGTGTCTCAAAGTGCTGGGGGAACGCTCACTGAGGCCGTGGATCAGGTTTAGGTCTGCACCACAGTCTCCCACCCGCCTGCGGCCAGAGACCACGTGGAGCTTGCTTTCCTCTTGAAAAATGGGAGAAGCATGCATGTGCACTTAAGGCCTCTGCTCACACCACGTCTACTCCCATTCCACTGTTTACAGCCTAGTATCGGTGAGGCAGTAACAAATATTCCATCCCAAGTATTTGCTGAATAGTAATTTAATCAATCAAACTGTCTGGCAGGGTTGAAGAATGATTGAGCCGCATGTAAAATACTTAGCCCAGTACCTGATACATAATGAGTATTCAATAAATTTGAGTTGTTATTATGATTGTAATTATTGATGTGTTACCCAGCATAAGATGGGCAAAAAAAAAAAAAGTTATTGAATCTATTTGTCAAGCAATGTGGTATGTATTTTCATACATTTTACCTCATTTTAAACCTTATAAACATCCTTTCAAAAAAAATTAAGTTACAATGTAATACGTATAAAATGGATAACTAATGAGAACCTGCTGTATAGCACAGGGAACTCCACTTTGCTGTATACTGGAAACTAACACAACAGTGTAAAACAACTATACCCCAATTAAAAACAAAAAAAAATTAAGTTTACTATGACCACCACCACTTTAGAGGAGAGGAAACGGAGTTTTAGCAGTTAACCACCTTGCCTAAGGTTACACAATTTGGGGGCTTGGGACACAAATTTAGATCTTTCTGATCTAGGGATGACTGAGAACTAACCATAGTGCTCAATAGGGCTAAATTCTGCTATGGTTATAGAGTGTTCAGATAGTTAAAATGAAACTAGCCAAGTTGCTGGAATTTTCTTAGATTTTCAACAGAAAATGAAGTTACAGAGTTTACCAACTTATGTGCACAAGATTTTTAAAGGTTGATTCCTTGATTGTAATTCCACAGGGAAAAGTGATCTAGGAATAATGTGGATTATCTGATGTATATTAGCTTTGTCAGTGGTTTTTGAATTTTAGGGTTTAAACGAGTGTTTCTCAACCCTTTTGTCATGACTACTCCCCTAAGGAGCCTTTTTAGACCATTTTTTCCTAATCCCTCCCCCTTTACAAAGTTGAATAAGATTTTGTTGGGCGAAGTTGAACACTCGAGGCAGGTTTTCCTCCTGGAGGGTCACGAACCACTGTAACAGCTAAGATTCTTTTGTGCCCTAAAAACCAATTTTTGCCCTCTTGGAGGTGCCCCACCCCCAGGGGATATTTGGCAATATCTGGAGGTATTTTGGGTTGTCAGAACTGGGACGGAGCGCTACAGGCATCTAGTGGGTAGTGGCCAACGGTATTGCTAGCCATCCTATAATGCACAAGGCAGCTCCCGCAACAAAGAATCAGCCAACCCAAATGTCAAGAGTGTTGAGAAACCCTGGATCATGAACACCTGAGAATCCTGTTAAAAATACAAATTCCTGAGTTCTACCCCCAGAGATTCTGACTGAGAGGGAATAAGCTCAGGATCTGAATTTTAAAAACTAACTGGGGTGGGGACTCCGTGCTTCCACTGCAGGGGGCACGGGTTCCATCCCTGGTCGGGGAACTAAGATCCTGCATGCCCCGTGGCGTGGCCAAAGAGACAACAATAACAACAACAACAACTAACTGGGGCCCAGATGCAGGTGATTGTAACTCTTACTGTGTAAAACATGGGAAATGCTCATTTCTTCCTATTGTAAATATCTGAGTTAATCACATAGTCTTAAAGTTTAAAAATTTCCCTAGAATTTTAACTTCAAGCTTTGTTTACCCAAACCACAGTTATAACTCTAAATTATAAAGCTATACTACATAGTCTTTTTACCTCAGCGTTTGAAGTGTTTTCCCAAAAAATAACTTCGTAAATTAGTGGGTAAAGCTGGTTCACAGACTTGTTTTCAGACTCTTTTGGAACACCGATAGAGACGTGAAGTGAGTCATCATTAACGGATTTCATGCTAATGACTGGAGGAAATATGATAGCTAGAAAAAATATGTAAAGACACAAAGTTCAAATTAGACTAAAAAAACAATTTTAAGAGTTCGCACCAAATTGGAGAATTACAATGTAAAGTAAAAACTATTGGCTTACTTTTCATTTCAGTATTAAATATTTTCTCTTCAGACCAAAAAGATGTGTTATTTCCATTAGATGCTTGTACACGGATACGATGAATTCCTTCTGGGAAAACATTTTGAGGAATCACACAGTGGGTAGTTTTGACATCTTCACAGTTTGGTATTTGTTTCCATTTGTCTGAATGACTCCCAGGAATCCTTTTTAAAAACTCACTTTTAAGACAAAAAAATGCTTTTTATTCCAAACACATTAATTTAGTAAACATTTACTGAATACCTATAATACACTAGACACTCTGTTAGGGGCTAAGGTTACAGAGATAAACGGTCCTCACCCTCAGGAAACTCACAGGACAGTGGAAGAGACATGTTCACAAAAGAAAACCAAAGATCTTGCTCCAGAGTGTGATAAGGTAGTGGTGTGCTAGAGCTGGCTCGTACCGGTGCACAGAAACAACTGCTAAATTTTCAGGAATGCTGCCAGCTAGTTGTTAAATGCAGCCATTATTAAAAGTTAAGTTACATAAAGTTACAAATAAATAAATTATATTAAAAACAAAAGTAATAAATACTCAAAACTCATCTTGTCCTAATTATTTTCCTACATTTTATTATCTATGCTCAAGGCTACTTACGTCTATCGTGTCTATACGGCGGAAACGCTATATGACGGAGGGCTTACTGTGCATCTTCCCAAATGCATGTTCAGTGACCTGCTGTTGGGAGCTTGACAGTGGCCATAATAGGAGTAGTTATATTATAAAAACTGGCAAATGCCACAGATAAGGCTTTTCCCTTCTGGAAAGCCAGCTGCTAAACGTACCAGCACACCTGTGGGTAAGTAAGTGCTGTATCAGAGATACACACCAGTGTCCTAAGAGCAAGTCTGCACAGAGTAAGACTGGGCCTGGAGAAGTTAAGTAAGCTGCTCAGAAACCAACAGCTCCAAGCATCTCAGCTCAAGCCTGAAACTGTAACAGCCTCCTGACTTGTCCCATTGTCTGTCCTGTCTCCTTAGTCCCGCTGCACCACACACTGTGTGGCCACCTTCCTCCTCCTCAAACACAGGCCTCACGTTACCCGTCCCTCAACACAAAATTCCCAATGGCACTCAAATGCCTACAGGGCAGTCTGAGGCTAAGCCTAAGCTTATGCCATCCTATTAATTCAGTGTTCTCTCTCATTGCTCTCCCAGGCCCAAATGTTCTGCTATTCTCCAAGCAGGTCCTCCCTTCTTGTCGGCAAAATTCCAAACTGGCCCCCCAAATTCGTACCTGCTGGTGCACAAGCCCTACGTGATCCCCTCCGCCTCAGTGTGGGCAGGATCCATGAATTCTTGATTAGGTTACATTATTTGGCAAAGGTGAAGGGATCTTACAAATGAAATCAAGGTCCCAAACCAGTTGACTTTGAGTTTATCAAATGAGAGCCTATCCTGGGTGGGCCTGACCTGATCAGATGAGCCCTTTAAAAGAGGGTCTAGAGGGTCTAGAGGACAGAGATTCTCTCTCCTGATGGCCTCCAAGAAGCAGGTCACCATGAGTTCTGCAGCTGCAAGAAATGGATTCTGCCAACCACCACATGAGCTAAGGAGACAGCACCCCAGCTGACACCTGAACTGCAGCCTTGCGAGACCCTGAGCAGAGAACCCAGCTAAGCCACGCCTGGACTCCTGACCCAAAGTCACGGACAGATAATAAACAGTGTGGGGTTTTTTTTGTGTTTTTTTTTTTTTTTTTTGCGGTACGCGGGCCTCTCACTGTTGTGGCCTCTCCCGTTGCAGAGCACAGGCTCAGTGGCCATGGCTCACGGGCCCAGCCGCTCCGCGGCACGTGGATCCTCCCGGACAGGGGCACGAACCCGTGTCCCCTGCATCGGCAGGCGGACTCTCAACCATTGCGCCACCAGGGAAGCCCAACAGTGTGTTTTAAGCTGCTAAGTTTGTGGTAGTTTGTTACAGAGCAAAATGCGAAATGAACACCTCCTCATTACCCCGACCCAATTTTTGTCTCTTCATATCCTGAGCTTCCCCCTGTGTGCAGCCCCTGCCTGGGATGCCCTCTCTTGTCATTTAAAAATCTGTGACTCAGCAATCAAGGCCTGGTTCACACTGCATCTCCTTCCAGAGGGCTTCTTCGGTCTCTCCAGCCACGTCCACCTTCATGTTTCTGACTTCTGCAACCCTTAGAATCTGTACTCCACTCCTCAGTCCTAAATCACATTTTGCTATGCAAAGGCAGATAACTGCTTTGGATTTCTAGCACCATGTGTTTTATTCTGCTGTACCTTTACGATTCCTTCAGTGCTTTGTACAGTGTGCTAAGTACCCAAAAGAAACTTAGAGACCAGCCATCAGAAACCCCCATCCCTGTCTAGTCTGTGGCCCTACTGTTTAACATGCTTTTGAAAGTGAAGAATACATAAAAGACTCCTTCTGTACAGTTTCCTGATCAGTGTGTGTGTGTGTGTGTGTGTGTGTGTGTGTGTGTGTGTGTGTGTGTGTGTGTGTGTGTG